TACAATAGGTTATTTAAGTAATAACTTGAAGGTTTTTCCTGTTTGAGGTAGTAATAGTATCCTGGGCAGATACACACCTGGTAGAACAGAACTGCCCTCGAGTGTTCTGGTGACAGGGTTTTTGATTTAACCAAGTTGTATGAGTTTCAAAATCGCTCCTGGGGTGCAGTGTGTTGTAGCTAGTAGTTACTGACATTCAGAGTGAAAGCTGCCTGCTTCATGCATGTGTGCTAATGGAGTTGCATACTGAATGAGACTTAAATGAGGCAGGACCTTTCATGCTTCCTTCTGTGTGTACTAAGTTGCACAACCAGTGGTGGATTAGCCACTGAGCCAACGGGGCCTATGTCCAGGGGCCCCCGGCCAATTGGGGGGAAGGGTCCTGGAAAAATGGGCACCCCAGTGCCCCAGCCCCGCCCCCCAGTAGGAGCACCAGGTGGGCGGGGGAAGCCTTTGCGCCTTGACCCTGCTCCCCAGTAGGAGTGCTGATGGGTGTGTGTGGGGGGGAGGGGAGGGGCGAACTGCATGTGGAAGGGGTGGGGAGGGACCCCCACTTGCTCTGGCCCAAAGCCCCACAAAACCATAATCTGCTTATGTGCACAACACAACGTGCATACGTGGTGATACAGGGCTCCTGGGGCAGGGCATAATATTTCAGCGATGTCTAGTCTAATCATTTCAATTTCTGAAATTCAGATGCGTCGTGGGCATCGTTAACATTGCTACTGAAGAGCAGTAACTAGAAAAGCCAAGATTTTTTCAAAGAATAAACAGGACTGGCCTTTGTCACTGTATGGATAGGAGACTATGTACATGGAAAGTCTATGGAATATGAGGAACAGGCCTCATAGGATTACTACTGACCGAGAAAGCAGTCTCTTCTGTAGCTCAATAGGTGATCTGAATGCATTTAAATATAAAGTTTCCTGGTTCAGTTTCTTGTTGGAATTAATTCCTCACAAGTAAGGACAATTGTTGAATTTATGACTACGTATAAACCATGCAGAATACAGAGAAGTGACTCTCAGGCTGTTCAGATTTTACTTATTCATGCTCACTAGCTGTTTTTATTATCCTCTGTGGGTGAGATGGTACTTTCATTCAAAGCCCCTATTTTAGAGGGTTATAACTTTCCAAAATCATGGTGTGGTAGAACCTTGATGCTTGTTCGGAGGAGGATGTTTGTTGAAAGTTGTAATAAATCTATTCAGCCACTATCTTGAGGATCAGACATTCAAATGAGCAGCTGATTTTCAACAAAAGGCTTAAACGTTACATTTCAATTTAAAAACCATGCAAAAATCTCTTAACACAACTTTGGGGTTGAGACTTCGTGCAAAAATCGGGAATTTCAGAATTGAGGTCCTTTAAGAAACCTTAACTTTGCAGCCTTTCACTCCATGATTACATAACAGTGTGAAATGCCCTATTTTTCAGTAAATACGGTGTCAGATGCACTGGAAGACTCATCCAGAAAGACTGAAAATTAGCGGACTGTAACAGAAGTAGTTTAAAGTAAATATATAATTATAAATACATATATGTGTAGCTTTTAGTATTACTGCATGTGTCCTGCTGTCTGGAGTGGTTTACGACTGAGTGCCAACCTCAGGGCAGACTGTCAAAAAGCAGAGCAGACACCCCAAGCGGGTGGTAAGTTCTATAATTAGATTTCACCAGTAACAAAATGTGAGCTCCTGAAGCACTATAACGGTCTTACCAAGGAGTCACAGAGAGTCCCTTTGGGCTCTCCAGTCTATATTGCCACCCAGGAAAGCAGGACTAAGTGATAAATGGTCACTTACACTAGAGATCACAAAGAATTCAGGGTGCTTCCAGTTCTAAGAGACCAGTCACTTACCCCAGGTCATTTTGTACCTCAGATCTCACACCAAAGACAACACTTGTGCCAATCCTGTAGTAAACTAACTAAGAATTTATTAACCTGGAAAAAGAAATGAGAGTTATTTACAGGTTAAAGTAGGCAAACATGCTGTGTCTATATACAGATGAGTTAGTCTGTGATTCCAAAAGGTGACAGAGTTGTAATCTGTCAGCACTGAATGTCTTGTAGAGTTAACTCAGGTTGACCCTGGGGATCTCTGCTTCTGTTTCCTAGCTCCAGCCCTGTGAGAGTCCAAACAGCAAAGAAATGAATTTTCCTGTCAGCTATCTTCATTTCCTCCTCCCAGAATTCAAGCTGGTGGGATGAGCTTCCGTGCAGGTAGCACCGTCCCGGGTGTAAGAGGACCATTAGCCCAGTCTTTGTATCCCGATGTTTCACAATGGCCAATTTAGTTTCCACAGCCCTTCTCAATGGGCGAGGGAACCACTCCTCTGGCCTGGGTTCACAAGTTCAGAGCAGGGATTTTTACAGTTACAAAGCAAAACTTCCATATTATTTTATAGCACGGAATACAGATATTACAAGCAAGATTAATGCATGCAACAACTCACAAGCATTTTATAGAGTCTAAACACACCCTTACAAGTTTAACACGTATCTTGAGCAACACTAACATACACATGAGCTGGCCTAGTTTCCAGCTATAAATTTGTCAGTGCTCAGCTGATGCCTGCAGACTTGGCAAGAGCTGGTACCTGGTCTACTAGTGTTATAGCATATATGAACCACGGTCATATAAACATGAAATGAAACTACATTATGACTTTTATAAGTCCCTGATACTTTTAGATGCTGCATATAAGAAGAATTTCATCTGTTGTGATGTTCAAATGTGCTGCTATTCAATACCTAAGGCTGATGTTGCAACGGAGTCTACATGCTGCACTCATATTGCCTAGTAGCTTTTTGACCATGCCCATTGGCTTTTGATTTTGAATTCTAATACAGCACTGTATTTTCATGTCATACAGGGTCCCTAAAATTTTGGACTTGCAGGAATGACTGGGTGAATTTCTATGGCCTTTGTTATACATGAGATCTGACTAGGTAATCACAGTGGACTTGCCGTCTATGAATCTATACTAGACAGCCCAAGAACACTCTACTGATCTGATGTTTGCCATGTGCAGATGTCCGTAATCATTAAATCCAAGTTCTTGAGTTGTACTAATAAACCTGCTATAGGTGATAGTGATCCAGTCCCTCTAGGTGCAAAATGTAATTGGGGTTTTGATTGCCACATGTGGAATATTACACTAGTTAGTGACAGCGGTGAGTGGATATGACTTTGAGAAGTTTTGGGAAGTCCAGGAATTTTTTCATGTGTAGTACTTGTTTAATGCAATAGCTGCCCTTTCTCCTAATTCCACACAAACTCTTCAAGTTTTGATCTCTTCTGTGCCACACCATCAGAAGAGCAGTCACTATCATTCCAATATATCTGATGTTGCTAGCTGCAGTGGCTATAGAAGGCTTTATAGTTTAGCACTCTGGAACATCACTTGTACTGTCCCAAGGGAAAACAGCAATTCAGGTGGAGTTTGCATGCACTGAAGAAAATGAAGCTCTGGTGTGATTGAAATTTAAGAGCTGAGCACATTTACATCTGACCGTGTTAGGGTCCAAATGTTACTGTTGACACTAGTTTTCTTTTTGGATAGCCACGCTGGCAGTCACTAGCGTGCGGAGCCCTGTCAGTTCTCTAATCTAATAGACTGTTCTTGCCCAGATCATTGTGTGTCAGTATTTTATATGCTGAATGTAGCCAGGTTTAATAATCAGTCACTTTTGCGCCTTCTGCCAGACTTTTCCCCCTGTTTTTTTTTTTTAAACAATGTAATGTTTAATTCAAAACCTGCTATGGAAACAAACTATATACATAAAAAAAAAGCAAAACTGAAGACGAAAAGCACTGAGTCACGAAAGGTAACGAGAGTTCAGAATAATGTCATTTTAGTTTTTAAAAAATGATTTGAAATTAATCCCTTTTAAAATTGATTTTATTTTTATTGCCTATTATGAAAATAATATGAAAAGGACATGGGCACTGCTTGAAAGTACTTCTGTAGTATGTCTGAAATCCTGAAAAGCTTGCCTTCAGAACACTGGTTGATCTATTTGTTTTCCAGTCATTAAAACAAATCTCTGAAGCTTTTTTAGATGCCATTTTTCTTGTTTAATACTGTTGCCTTCAGCTAGCACCTGTTGAGGCCAGTTACAATGGTTCCAAATGACTAGAATCTACCATATTTAGTGCAATGGACAAGCTTTTTGCTGTATGTCTGAGGGCTCCCATTGCCTGTTTACGGTATTATGAAGTGCTCTCATGTTCTAGCTTGTCAATACAAAGAATTGTAAACCTCCAGGTGAGTGTTAATTGCATGGGAAACTCCCAAGAAATATGAATACCAAAAAGAGAGAGGCAGCGGAGGTCTGACAAATATATTATAAAACATTGAAGCATAAACGTAATTTGAAAGCAGGCTTTCTTTGTAGAGATACCTGTGCATTTTAGCTGGCCTTTCAGTTATTGCTGAGATGGAATATCCCAAATCACATTCTGCGCAGAGAATGGGCAAGATTTGACAGCTTGAGGCAACAAGTGGGGCTTAGAATGGTAGCCTGCGGCGTTCCAATCTGATGGCTTCCATTCTGATCCCCCAGAGTCACAGACGGTACACCATCCGGTCCTGTCAGCATCTCTCACTTTATTGGTAGAGGTATTTTTGTTCATGGTTTAGTTTGCTATACTACCTCTGAAGTTTCCCCATATGCATCTGTCCCTCTGCTTTAGGGTGAATGCCCCTTCCTGCATATCTCCTGGATGTGGGAGGTAGGTATCAACTGTAGGAATGTTCAGTAGGTGTATTGCAAAAGCCATGTTATTCCCCAGAGTTTCCTCCCCTCTTTTCCCAGAGAGGAACCTCTGTCCATAATGCAGTGTCTGCATCTGATTGCCTGACAGTCTCACTGTGCCACTAGCCATCTATTATACCTTCTCCCCCCTGCCCCCAGGACACAGATGAGAAAGGAAGATAGTGTTTTTTCCAGCTTGGTGATTTAGCATGCATCTTCTTCCCCCCTGCTTCTTCAGGTAATAAAGCCAGATGGCAGTGACAAAGAAACAGAAGCGACACATGAATCAGATGTCCCTGAGGAGCTGTCAGGGACTTGCCTTCCTCGAGAGCCAGAGAAAGGAGATGCTGATAGTCCGGATGTCATTATAGAGGCTCAGTTTGATGATAATGATGCAGAGAATGGACAAGAGAACTCACAGACTGTGCTGGCTGATGACATTAAGAAACTTTCTATGGATACCAATGAAAAGGGTGAGTGGGTCAGATTGCTGTCTTAAACGTTGATATCCGCGAACTTGAAGTATTTTCTTTGCGGCTTTGCTTTGCTGAAGGATTTAAGGTGCAACATGGAAGTTGAATGTGTCACCAACCCTGTGCTTGCCCTGCTAAGCTCCCTTAATAGTCAATAGGTTGGGTTCTGAGTGGCTATTGAAAACTGGCTTTTATGCAGCCTCAGTGGACTCAATGTAAACCTGTAGAACAAAAATCACCCCTTTATATTTGAGATTTCCAGTGCTGCATGTGACTCTGCTGTTCGCAATCTGACTCAAGATGTTGCTATAGCTTTTTCCTCCCATCCCAGGCAGGCTTTCTAATCTGTATTCCTCACATTGGGGATAAGAATTAAATTCCTTTGGCTTTTTCTTGCATTGCAGAGTTGAATGTTGTTTGTAACTCAGGTCTTTGAAGAAGAAATTGATTTGTTTAAAAAAAAAAATTCAAGCAATCATGTGATCCTTTTGAAGAGGAGCGGTCTTACTCTGAAGCCTTCCTGTGTCATCAGATGTCACAGGAAAGATTCAGTGGCGCAAAAAAGGTTCCACCATTCCTGTCTGTTTCAGGCCACTGTTTGCATATCTTTTATTAAGTCCCATATGTTTTCCCTCTCTAAGGGCAGGTCTACACTTACTTCCTGGTCCGGCCGTAAGCAACCGATCTTCTGGGATCGATTTATCGCGTCTTGTCTAGACGCGATAAATCGATCCCGGATCGATCCCGGAAGTGCTTGCCGTCGGCGCCGGTACTCCAGCTCGGCAAGAGGAGTACGCGGCATCGACGGGGGAGCCTGCCTGCCGCGTCTGGACCCGTGGTAAGTTCGAACTAAGGTACTTCGAATTCCGCTACTTTATTAACGTAGCTGAATTTGCGTACCTTAGTTCGAAGTGGGGGGTTAGTGTGGACCAGGCCAAAGCATGTTTGATGGAGGGATTCTTTCTGTTGGCCACTTTTTAAGTGTTCCTCCAGCTGCCCAATGGCATGCCTGCCATGGCAGATGGGCTGGCTTCATTCTTAATAGACGTTCAAGATATTGCCATCATCTCTTCGGATAGTATTGGAGACAGGATTGTTGAGCTCTGACAAATCTCAGCACTTGTCATAAATTAATTCAGTTTAATATTTACTACTTTCTTGAGGCATTTGCTTGAAAGGCAATTAGGTGTCTGTCTATTCTCTTGATGGGTTTCCAACTTTCACATCCATATGTTAAAATGTAAAAAAAAAACCAATTGAGTTTAAGGTTGGTGGCTTGGTCTTTAAGACATAGATTATTATTGACCAAATCTTGCTTAAGCCGGTGACTGCAGCTGCTGCCTTGCCAATTTGTGACATTATTTCCTTCTGGACATCCCTGTTGGCTTGCATGTTACTGCTATGGTATGTGTATTGCCTCACCTCTTGTATTCCTTTGCCTTCTAACTTAATGCTTGAGTTGGGGGTTGCTCGGGTTCTCATTAGATATGTTTTTCATAACTATTTACCCCATCTTTTTTGTGATACTGGACAGTCTTTCATTTTTGCTTATATGTTGGTTGACTGGTCGCTTGGAAGAGCCATATCATCAACAAAATCTAAATCTTCTAGTGTTAAGCTGCGATGGCAGAGGTGAGAGAGTGCGTTCTTGTTTGACAGCAATATCTGTTAAACCATTAGCTCAGGTCTGTGTTTACTTTCACTGTGCAAGCTGCATCTTGATATAAAGTCTTGATCTTGTTAATTTTATTGTTGACATACCATGACACTTCAAGATGCTGTGGCGTGGACTAAGATGCAGGTTGTCATACGCCGCCTTAAAATCTATTGACATTTATGATGAGTGGATTTTTGCCTCTCGGTACTTTCCTTAGTGGTTGTTCTTAGAGTGAAAATCTGGTTCTTCCAGGTCAAAATCTGGTCTGCTCTTCCCTTAGCTTTGCCTCGGGCTGCTTCAGAGATACTGCAGAGACCTTGCTTGTCACTGAAAGGAGTGTAGCACCTTGCCAGTCATGGCAGTTGCTAGGGTCACTTTTCTCGACTATCTATTGTTCTGAAGGCTTTTCCTGGTCCCATGTTTTGTTGAAAAGTTGGGTGATTTTTATCAATGATCTCATCGTTACAAGCTTTCAACTTTTCCTGGTGACTTGGTTTTCACCTGCAGCTTTCCCAGGTTTTAAGGTTTTTATTGTACCTTCTTTATTTGGGGTGTGAGAAATTAAGATGTCCAGGTCTGGTGTTTAATTTCTTTGTCAAAGTCAGTAGTTTCTTGTGGAGTTGGTCAGTTTAGCACTTCTTAAAAATGTTCTGCCCATCACTCTGTTCTTTCTGCTGTTTCTGTCTTTACTTGTTTATCCTTCACAAGCCCTATGGCTGATCTAAACTGGCCAGTTAGAACCTTGCTGAGTTGATAAAGTGTTTTCCTGTTCCCTCTTTCAGCAACCACTTCAGCTTCTTTGGTGATCTTATCCATATATTTCCTCTGGTCTCTTCTTGTGCTGCTTTTACTGTTTTATCTTTGTTTTATATAGATTTTTTTCTGATGCTTTTTCTGGAGTTATTTTTGAGCAGTTGATGTTTGGTTTGGCTTGTTTCCTTTCTTTCACGCAGTTCCGCGTATCCTCGCTTCTCCAGAGTTTTGGTTCACTTAGCCCGTTTCCAGACACAGTTATTGCGGCATCTCTGCTAGTGTCGCAGCAAGGAACATGACATGTCAATGCTGACTTGCTGGGACAAACTCTGTCCTCATAATGTGCACGTGCAGCCCAAATCGTTTTTAAAAAGAGCCCCACATTCACATTTTGAAGGCAGAATTTGGCCTCAGATAATAGTACCACCAGCTTGGATCCTGATCCTCCCAACATGAGTAACTTCATTCATGCAAGTAGTTCCATTGGACTCAGTGGGGGTCTACTCACCTGAGTAAAGGACTTATGCACATGTGTTTGGAGGATTGGACCCTTGCCCAGTTCAGGTGTCCCTCACTGTGTACAAAGTAACTAGACTTCCTTTGAAAAAATGTGGGTGTTCATGCTGTCATTTCATCCATGTAATACAGATCTTTTATACTAAGCTTTGTATCTTGGCTCTTCCCTGTATAAAATCCCTTCCCCATGAAACAAATTACTTTTGCAGCAACGGCCCAGAGAGGCGCAAATAGGAGAAGGGAATGTATAAGGGTGAGACTCTTTGCTGTGCGTAAGGGCTGTACAAAACCTATGCATAACATACTTAAGCCCAATTGTGAAGACTCAAGAGCTCACGGACCTTTGCAGGGGCCTCTGCACAGGGGTAAATATCACCCTTTCTGAGCAGTGGCAAGACTGGAATAAATGGTACATAACTGAGCAGTACAATACTCGAACGGAAGCGTCTGATGGGCGTATTTATACAGCAAAGTCTCACGGATTCATGCTAAGGAAAGATGCCATCAAGTCAAGCACTGGTAAAATGAGAACATCTAGAAACCGACAACCTATATTATAAACAAAACCCCAAAATCCATCTTCCAGAAAACAGAATCCCCACCCAATTTAACTTCACACACAGTTCTCGTCCTGGGAAGAAGAGGAAGAGAGTACAAACCACATGCGACAGATGTTAGTCATGTTGCTTAATGCACTACTGGTAGGGACTCAGATACTGCAGTGATGAGCACAGCATCAGAACATATATAGACAAGAATAAACCAAGCTGTATGACTGACTTCACTGCCTGATAAAGCTGATCAGAAACCGCTTAATTTAGGCATAAGTGCTGTAGTGAACAAGATTAGAAACCTGTTGTACATAGAGTGTATTGAGTGGTGGTGAGAACAAAGGATCAATAACTTGTGCAAAGTCTGGAAAGTATCACTTATTGGTGGCTTCACTGTCCATGGTATCCCATACCTAGATAGATAGATATATTTTAAATAGATCTACTTCTTAATTGCTCCTTTAAAGGACCAGCTGTCACAATCCTGTAACGCAGAGGTCCAAGCAAGCACTTGCAGTTCAGTCACCCTTTTCTGGATCATTTTCTTTCCCTAACACAATCATTACTCTCCCTTAGCTCTGTACGAGTACACGTGGCAGATATATCTCCATGTCGTCCTCTTGTATTAGCTACACCGGTTTCTTCCACCACATGGTGTTGAGATTGTTCACAGGGCTCACATGTTTTCTTACCAGTCAGGCAACCCACTCCTTCCTGGAACCTTAACTTTGTGTTAACTGGACTAATTTGTTTTCCCCTTTGAGCCACTTGGCTACCTAGGGTCCTGTGGCACCTTTAAGACTAACAGAAGTATTGGGAGCATAAGCTTTCGTGGGTAAGAATCTCACTTCTTATGCTCCCTATACTTCTGTTAGTCTTAAAGGTGCCACAGGACCCTCTGTTGCTTTTTACAGATTCAGACTAACACGGCTACCCCTCTAATACTTGGCTACCTGTTTTCTTTACCACCTCTCAATCAAGGCAGCCTTTTTAGTAGCCATCATGTCAGGCAGAGGGACAGGGGAGATCCAGGCCTTCATGGTAGGCCTCCTATTCCTCCTCTCCCCAACAGTCATTCATGAGGATAGGGTCACCCTCACGTGAAGTTTCTGAGTAAGGTGGCTTCTGAGTTCCACATCAGTCCATTCACTTCCAGGTTTTCTTCCCTAAATCACATTCCACCCTGGGTTAAATGAAACGTCACACATTGGATGTCATGAGGGCATATTTTATTTGGCTAGGACCCAACCATTCAGGTATATACTAGACTCTTCATGGCATTTGCTGAGCAGGTTAAAGGGCAAACCCATATAATTGAGAGGCGAAGTGGGTCTCAGACTATGTCAGGACATTGTGCTAAGAAAGGGTCACCTGGGCAGGTTAGGTTAGTCCACTGGGACTTGGATGGCTTCTCTGCCCTGCTTAGGTAACTTGTAGAATCCACATATCAGAGAGGGTACAGGTGTAAAAAGGACTCTTGATTTCTGTGTTCCCATCTCCCAATTGCATGTATAAAAGGGTTG